ATTTGTAAAATTTACTTAATTTCCTTTGAAAGCACCGCCTCTGCTCCGCGTCCGCCTCCCCCCTCGCTCTGTTCAACTCGCGCTGCAGAGGTTTTTTTTTTTTCAAACTTTATTCAGTCAGTCAGCATTGACAACACTCTGCAGCTGAATAAAAGGGCTCTGCAGGGCCGTGAAAGACTCATAATCGCGCAACACAATGAATCGATAAGGAAATTTGTTGCCAACACTTTTAAAAATCGATTTTTTTTAATCGATTTTATCGATTTGTTGTTGCAGCCCTACATTGTATGTTCTATTTTGTATAGGCTTCGCCCTTTAAGGCTATCGCTAGTGGGTTTACCTCTCACGCGCAGCACTGAAAACTTTGGTCCACACCCACCTACTGTGTGGGCCCCGCCCCTGTTTATATAAATTGCCCTGAGACCAGGGATCAGCTTCCCTTTTTTCTGAGTTAAGCACATAAGAAAACCTAAAGAGCAGAAGATGTCCAGCGGAGATGGGGTTCATCCTCATCTCCGACCTCCACACAATCTACAAAGGCTGCCTCGGAGCAGAACACACAGGTCGAGCACCGCAGGCTTCCTGCCTGTTCTGCAAGCTTCTCCCATGCGAGGAGAAACTACGCCAGGCAGCCATTTTTGCTTGAGGCGAAGAACCTTTCCAGCTTCCAGAAAGCTACCCACTGGACGAGGCCCTCGATTTTTTTTGACGATGGCTGGATTCGGACATTTCTGCCTCTTGACAAGGAGTCGTTGAGCAGCTTTGCTCCCTCCTCTCAGCCACCACCACCCACCCCACCCCCCGCAGCGGTTTCTCCTCGCTCAGTCACAACGACGGAGGTCGTCAGCTGACGTGTTCCTGGTCCATCCCACTGCAGGAGACGCAGCGGCGACGTCCCAAGAAATGTCTTTTTGGGGTGGATGTGTGTGTTTACAGTGTTGTAAAAACACAAGCATCAGTCTAAGAGCAGTGTCCTCTCAGATGCTACATGATCCTGCTGGATTCTTCTCACACACATCTTCCACAGAGTGAGACGGTAACTTTAAAAACGGCCGTTCTAAAAGGCTCCATGATCTCAAGGTCTCCAAGCAACACTTTTTTTTCTGCTTCTCTTTCTTTCCTGCCAGTATTTGAGCCTACGATGGTACTCAATGCTGCTCGTGCAGACACAACTCCCTCAATCCTCCTCTCTCCATGTGTCGTGGGTGTGAGCACACAGGATGTGCAGTGTGAGCCCTCTCCTAAACGACCCATCACAGAAGCGTCCGCTCAGCGTTCAGTCTCCCTGGCTGAGCCCGGATGCGAGTCTGTGTGTAAAACGCTGTACTAAGGCTGACTCGCAGCCCTCTCGTTCTGAGCCCCCCATGGATCACAAGAGAAATTTCTTCTCTGGGTGATGGCGTCAGGGGCTTCAGCTTGGCTTGTCTCCATGACAACCACAACCCAAAGAGTGCATGCTCATCCGCTCTCATAGTGCTGGTCTGAGTGGCAGCACATATGTTCCATGAACAAGTGGATGTGGTCAGCAGGGGGTATACACTGCAATTCACAGCAACACCCACAAAATTCAGCTGAGTCTTGGAGTCCATCCTGCCATTCCCACAATGGGGTCTGGCTCTCCAGTCTGGATCAGCGGAACAACTGATGAAAGATGTCATTTCAGGGTTCCCCGCGGGAAGGAAAATGCTCCTGGTACTGAAAAAGACAGTCGGGCTGAGACCCATTCTGTATCTGTCATTTTTCAGTAAATTATCATGGAGAGACTGTTTCACATGCTAATAATGATCAAGCAGGTGTTGGAATATGTTTACCAGAATGACTGGTTCTTCTCCATAGATCTGAAGGATGCATACTTCCGCGTCCTCATCATTCACAAACACAGAACATTTCTGCGTTTTTTTTCCTTCCAAGGAGCTCTGTACCAGAACAAACACCTGCCGTTTGGGTACTCGCTCGCCTCCCGCACATTATCTAACTGCATGCAGACGGCCCTGCAGCCATTAGGCATAGCGAGGATGAGCGTCTTGTTTTATCAGAACGATCTCCTGCTGGCTCGATCCAGAGAGGAGGCGGAAGTTCATACGAGGACGTTAGCGACACTTCTGTCCAACTGGGCAGAGAGAGAGCCAACTTATTCAATCCCAGCTCATTGTTTATCTGGAGTGGTGCTTAATTCAGTGACAGCTCTGTCAGTCATGCGCCTGCTGGGCATGACGTCAGCAGCACATGTGGTGGTTCCACATGTGCTGCTGATGGTCCAGCTGTGTGGAGCTCCTCGCAGTGTGGAAGGTGGTCCAACACATTGCTCCACTGCTGCAGCAACATGTTCTGATCCAAAGACAGCAGCAGCCTACATAAACCGCAAGGGAGGCATGCGCTCCGTGCAGCTGCTAGACACGGCCAGACAGCTGCTGTGCTGGGCGCGCGCACATTTACGCTCCATCAGTGAACCTGCTAGCCACACGAGAAAATGCTCAGTGCGAGCTCTGGTTTTCACTGAGTGAAAGTTTTCAGTGCTGCGAGCGAGGGATAAACCCACTAGTGACAGCCTTAAAGGGCTGTGCCCATACTGATATAATCAGGGGTTACAGTACGTAACTTTTTTCTTAGCTTTATGTCCTCCCTCATGGTCAGTAATTTTCACACTGACACTCAACATAGTGCTGTTTTGCCACCTGAGCAGCAGTGAGTGTGATTTAATTAATGGGAAGAAATGTAGCCTGTTAACTGTCTTCTCAGTAACCGTCAGTGGGCGGCTATTTCACCGCCTACTAAAGTGTCCGACGCCGGAGATGGTGTAGAGGTAGGGCCGCCGACTCGAGACCAGAAAGTCGCAGTTTGACTCCTTGCCACGCCCACATGTTGTGGTGTCTCTGAGCGAGACACCTAATCCCTAATCGCTCCCCAGGTGCTTACATAGCTGCCCACTGCTCCACCTGGGTTTATTTCACTTGTGATGGGTTAAATGAGAGAACTAATTTCATAATTTTATAGAAACATACAATGATGACATCACACAAAACTTATGCCCCTTTTCCATAGTACCTCTTAGTACCGGTTCCAGT